TAATTGCTTTGGACCAAAGAATGCAAAAATGACGGATGCCTCAGATACAATCATTCAATTGAGCAATCTAAAAAAACCATGACACCAATTAAATTGTTTTCATTCCCAATAAGTGCTTTGGACCAAAAAAGACAAACCCCATGGATGCAGTCAATCAACCAGATTGTTACAAGGGACCCCAGCAATGGGGACTATACATGTATTTTAAGATGTCGATGTAAATTTGTTTGATAAATGTAAAGTTTGATGAATGAAATGCTTACACAAATATTTATTTACTGACTAAAGGTTTTACTACAGTATTTCATTTTGTATTTGTCCACAGTGCCTTCAAATATCGAATCAATTCGAGATCAGAATGTAACCGAAGGTGACAATTTAACTTTGACATGTACTGCATCTGGAATGCCTCAACCAAAGGTGTCTTGGATTAAGCTTGGTGGTCAGCGTCATAATGGACATATATTGGAGGTTACAAACATTAACAGGACTGAAGCTGGGAAATACAAATGTGAAGCCAGTAATGAGTGTGGCAATGAAACAGAGACGGCAAATATTGATGTGCAATGTAAGTAATTACCTATAGATTAAATTTAAAAATAGTGAATGCTTGTGGATATTAAAGTTTTGAAACTAAATTAGTCACTAAGAGGTTTTCTTATGAAGCCACCTGTTCATTATTTGTCCTTGACGTGTATACAAAGATGTAAAGAAAAGTTGATGATGTATATGCAGTTTTGTGAGTCCAACATGTATCAAGTTGGGATTAATGGAATTTTACATTAATGTGATATATCAAAGTTCACACGGCAACCAGTTGTTTGATGATACCCTGTTTAAAGATATAATGAATGTAACCGAGAAGTTACAATTCATAGACCCTACGTTTTGACACTCCTGTTTAGCGTCTTTATCAGGGGTGATCTAATCGCTGCAGCAAGAGTTCCTTTTATGTGCTCACTAATAAGCTTCCCTTTCTTTTGACGAGGTGTAAATAGGCGTCAAGTAGTAAGCCGCCTTCATCACAATTTAAAGGAGCGTGGGCAGAGTTGATGTCCGTTGATCACTGAAAAAAAAAGCGGTCTTCTTTTGCAAAAAATAAATCAGCTTTGTCGGAGCACACATGCCTAACCAACTATAAAACTGGGTGGGATAAGTCTAAAATTATCACCACCAGTCGACGTTACCACTAGCGCCATTGTTTGGAAGCCTGGCATATCAACTCCGCCCACGCTCCTTCAAATTGTTGTACTTGTAACTTCTCGGTTACACTCATTAAATCTTTAAGCAAGAGTAGCATCAAACCATGTTAAATTAATGATTGTAATCTTTTGGTTACTCTCGTAGACCAACCAGAGAATATGCGATTTACAACTTCTGTGATCGACTTCAAAGCATGTCAGGGTAATACTATCACCTTTAACTGCTCAGCTGATGCTGAGCCAGCAGTGACGTCATACCACCTGTTTAAGAATGACACTGCTGTAAACGTCAGCCTTTCAGGGATGTGGAGCGAAGCATTGGCAAGTGAAGGGATGCTTGTCTACAAATGTGTGGCTAAGAACAGTTTGGGGACAGCAGCTAGTACGGATGTTACTGTTACTGTGAATGGTAAGCCTTGCTCTTTGTATTAAGCTATGTTAACGCTCTAGATTCTTCCGGATCTTTTAGATAATTTCCATCCCATTTTCATACTTACTGGACCACTTTTGTAGATGTGAAAAATAAAAAGTTATTACCCTTTGTCTCATGATACACTCACTTTCGATATTTCGAATGCACCCTGTCAGTCTTCTTTTCAAAATACGCCCTGCCAGTCTTCTGCGAGGACTGCGGTTGGCTGGGTACAAAGTTATTTACGTTATCGAGTGTCAATTTTTCAATAGTAGTTATAATATCAGCTAAGCTCAGATCCAGCATGATCCCGTTACTTGCGCTAATTTTAATACATTCTAGTTTAGCTACGTCACCTAGAGTCCTTTGATCAAATTTTGCTCATCAAAGAATGATTTTCATCAATTTTTTTTGTGCCATTCAGTGCGTAGGACTAAAGCATGCTAAAATAATAATATTTCTTTTTATTGATCCATGACACACAACTGTAGCTTACGTAGTTGGTGGCTGCATTAAAAACCCAATTGCTAGATTTACTGAATTCTTAATGAAGTTATGGAGAGAAGAGACAGTTACAATTTAGATCATGACGTAAATTTTGTGCAGCTTGAAATAAGATCAGGACTTATCCAATCTGTGCTTGACTGTGGTTCAACACTACACCTCTAAATATACATTGTATATACTTCTTTGTTTTTTGTTTCATATTTTAGTGCCTTCATCCATACCTGCAATTCAAGATCAGAATGCAACTGAAGGTGACAATGTGACCCTGTGGTGTCGTGTATCCGGAATGCCTCCCTCAATGGTGTCTTGGGTGACACCTGATGGTCAGCGTCACAGTGGTAAAATGTTGGAGGTTAAAAGCATTAACAGAAGTCAAGCTGGTGAATACAAATGTGAAGCCAGCAATGAGTGTGGTAATGCCACAAAGACCGCAAGCATCCATGTCCCCAAGTTGCCCGGTACACCTAACCTTACTATTGTACAGTATATACTGTACCTTTACAGTTATGGGTTCATAGTTTCATACCATGTTAATGAATCTGTATTGGAAATCATCTTTTTCGCCATTTTCTTCATGATTTGCAATTTTTCTTCCTCGTGATAACTCTTCATTACGTGATAGCACCTTAATTTGTTATTGGTATGCTTTGGCGCGCTTTTACTGGTTTATTTCAATACTCATTATTATTCTGACTGTTAGATGTTATTCCCTCATAGGTCGGCTTTGCAACTGATCGGCTTTTATGCTTTT